TGATTTTGGAAACTTTGTTATATCCACTCTCATAGGGGTATAAGTGTATTGGCCAGGATGCCAACGTATTTCTCACTGTGGGTGTGGGGTTTTTTGGGGTTTTTTTTATTTTAAAGGAAAGTCACCCCCTACAGTGTAGGCGGCTTAAGGAGCCGCACTGGACGGATGAGGGCAGAGGCGCAGAGTCTCGGCGCCCTGCCTCCCTGCAGGAGGGATGGGTCCGCTTCCAGCCAAGGCGGCTAGGAAGGCAGAGAGCATTCCTTCTCACTATTCGAGGCAGCCCCGCAAGTTACACGTCTACAGGGAAGACCTGGGCAAGATAAGCCTGCTCGGATGGCACCCGCCAGGGGCTTTGCTCGCAGCACCGCTTTCAAAGAGCGACACCAACTCTGTCCACCCGAGGCGCTGGCTCGAGCGCAGAGTCCAGGGGTGCCCAGTGCTGCAGAGTGGAGACCCCGGAATCCACTTGCAGAGCTTCAGGTGACTCTGATGCCCGCATCTGGGGGCCGTCCGTTAGAGGGTCGCTGCAGTAATCCCCGCTCTCAGAAGTCACGCAGCCCCAACTCCCGCTTGGTATCCAATGCCTCGTTTTACAAAGTTGCCTGGGAGCTCACGCTCCTCTCCCGAGGCGATGAAGGGCGAGGGACTAAATAAAAGGCTGGTGGCTTTTCACTCACCAGGAATGGGACTGAGTGGCCGAAGGGCAGGAGTCCCCTGCTATACACCACGCAACTCTGGATGGAGGTGTAATTTTCACGCTATTTACAGGGCTTTTCAAGGGCCTCAGCCTGAGGACTTGTGATTGGCTTTAGGGCAGATCTATCACTCATCCTCTGGGTTAGAGGTGGGTGGAAGGTCAACCACGACCAATACAAAACCACTCCTCAAGATAAGCCCCGCCCCATCTAGCTTCCTGTTGCTGTCCATCAACCACCCCGTGGGAGGAACTTTGCTTCCCTCCAGTTGGCTGGCGAACATGTCGCTCACTCTTCAGTAGATTTCCGGTTGGTGCCTCCTACCGTCCATCAGTTACATTTCACATGCCTATTGGCCAAACCAACGTCGCTCTAGATACCTGTCTTTGATTGGTTAGTAGTGCTGTCGGTCCCCAATGCACAACACTCTTATTGGTGAACAGTGCCGTCGCTCGGGCGGTGGCGGGCTCCGGGATTGGCGGGTGCTGGGCGGGCGGTGTCAGGCTCTCGGTGGCGGCGGAGGCGGCGGAGGCCAGGGAGGAAGATGTCGTAATGAGCGGTGGGTCTTGGCCGCTGCCGGCGGGGTCTTCCTAGCCCCCAAGGGTCGGGAAGACGGGCAGAGGCCGCAGGGAGGGGGAACCGGGGCCGGGGGTTGCCCCCTGGGGCCGGGGCCTGGCGCCGGGGCCCGGCTCCGGGAGGGGCGGGGGAGGGAGGATTCCCGCCCGGAGGAGGAGCGGGGCTGGCCAGCCGGGCGGAGGCACCCGGAAGGGGGCGTTCGACTCCCCGCCTCCTCGGAGCCCGCTGGGCGGGAGGGCAGCGCTTCCGGGGGCTGGCAGGACGAGCGGGCACCTGGGGCCGACCGATCACCCCTCCGCCTGGTCGTCCCCCAGCCCCCCCCAGCGCTGTCCGGCCCGGGGCTATGGCTTGGGCCTGCTCCGAGGAGGCGACCGGACCCCCTCGCGGTTGCCCTGTGCCCGGAGGACCCTCCTGCACTCGAAGTCTAGGTGCCCATTCAGGGCTCGCCCGAGTGCAGAGATGGGCAGGGGATGCTTGCGATCCAGGTGGCGCCAAGCACATGCACACCGCGGGGTCTAGAAGCCAACGTGGTTGCCAGTGTCTCCCCATGGAGAGAGGGTGTCGGGACACCAGGGCACTCCCTAGGCAGAGGACCCCTCGCCTTGGACTGCGAGTAGGCAGAACCTTGCCATGTGTTCCTTGGGATCCTTGAGCCTCCAGCTAAGTATCTTCAGAAACGGAGAGACGTTTAAGAACTTGTTGGCGGAGCCAGCCCGGACCTGCCGAACCCCAGAGGCCGGGCACAAACCTAGGGAATGAATGCACGAGAGAAATAAAGCAGAAGGGGCGTTTCTTCTCTCCCGCCGCACCCCCGTCCCTGCGAATGGCCTGTGTTCCGGGGGGCTTTATAGTTTTAGTTGAAAAGGAGCTGTGTTTCCTCTGGGCAGTTGAGAAACCTGTCTTCACTGCATTCACTGGCTTTGATTCCAAGATACTGTCGTGTTTAATCGTAACTTGATCCGGAGGGACTCGGTCTGGCTTTCCTCGGTGCACATGTTCCCGAACTTTGTTTCTTCTTCTGAGGTTGACTTCCTGGCTCACTGATGTGTTGTTTCCTAGCAAAGGGGAAGGAAGAGCCAGTAGGTCTGCTTCGAGCAGTGAATTGGTTCCTGGTCGTCCTCCGTGACACCGACTGCATGGCAGAGGGAGGGGGGATGACTTTTAAGGGACACTGGCGTGCACTGTCTAAAACTTACGTGCTGCCCCCCACAAGGCGTTCAGTGTGGCAGCGGAGGGCTAAACGTTGAGTTGGTATTTGGGGTAAGGTTTTTTGGGCTGGAAAGTTCAGGATTGTTAGCCAACTCACGGAGAGACGGAAAGGAGTGAATGATGGTGGAGTCCACACCGTAGGAGTAATTTCGAGTAATGACCCAACGAAACCTGTTGTCTGCAGTAATTAATGTAACTGCAGGGACTTTTTAAATTCCTGTGTCTGCCCTGGCCGGTTTGGCACAGTGGATAGAGCGTCAGCCTACGGACTGAAGGGTCTCAGGTTCGATTCCAGTCAAGGGCATGTACCTTGGTTGCGGGCACATCCCCAGTGGGGAGTGTGCAGGAGGCAGCTGATCGATGTTTCTCTCTCATCGATGTTTCTGACTCTCCCTCTCTCTTCCTCTCTGTAAAAAAAAAAAAAAAAAAAAAAATCAATAAATTCCTGTGTCTGGTGAAGGGGCTCATCTGTCATACAACCTATCAATTGGGCTGATGATGTCAGTGTGCCAGTGGCTTCTAACAGGCATTAATTCCTGTTGGAAATGGATTCTCATTGGGCCAATTGGTAAGATTTCTAATTCTGGTTTTTCCACTTGGTTGGACAGAGGCTTAACCTCTTCATTGAACAGCAGCAACAACAAGAAAAAGACGCTCTTCTGGCATATGAACCCCCTGAGCTAGGCTGTTAAAGACACATTCTCTCTGCCAAGGAGGCCCAGGTTGAGGTAGTTCATAGTCATAGCCTGACTACCCAGCAGGGAGGCAGAGTGTGACTTCACTGTTGACAGCACAGAGATGAGATTCTACTAACGTTTGGGCCTCTGGAGGTCTGTCAGAGGAAAGAAGAAGCTGTAAGAAGATTTTAGCAAATGTCTGGGCAGTCATTTTGGTGTCTTGGCCTTGCACTTCCTAGTTCTGTTGATTAGTAGCAGCCTTTTGGAGAAGTTGCAGGGTCCCTAACCGGTCCTTTGCCATAGGTATGTAACAACTCTTAAGCTTGCTTTAAGCAAGTATTGCCCAACTAGGGCCCTGTGAAGACATTCTAAGCCAGTGGTTCTCAACCTTCTGGCCCTTTAAATACAGTTCCTCATGTTGTGACCCAACCATAAAATTATTTTTGTTGCTACTTCATAACTGTAATGTTGCCACTGTTCTGAATCTTAATGTAAATATCTGATATGCAGGATGGTCTTAGGCAACCCCTGTGAAAGGGTCGTTCGACCGCCAAAGGGGTCACAACCCACAGGTTGAGAACCGCTGTTCTAAGCTGTTGCAGCCAACTAATACACCCTGATATTGACTTGGGTTCAGCAATTTTCTAGACATTGCTCACCCCCATTTCTATGATGGAAATGTATGATTTTCTTCCAAGACTTATCTTCACGCCTCTGTTCTCTGTATTCACACAGATTAGATGCCTCACTTCCAAAGATTGAAACACTGAGGGATATTTTAGAGGGGGTGGGCAGTGGCCACAGAAGAAAGGATGCAGAGAAACACTGCTTTAAAGGGTGTAGAGTATTAGAAAGTTTGGAGGTATGGCTGTGTGAATACTTCTGAGTTTACTAGTAAACAATTCCATGGTCCAGGCTGAAGCCTTGTGGACTGCAGACTTGGAGTAACCTCTGTTTAAGGCCCCGATACTTGCTTAGGAGTTCACTGGATGATAGTGTCCCTTTGGGATTTGTGAACTTCTCGACAAGTGTGAAACCAGGAACACTTGGTCTACAAGCTGGACCCAGCCAGCACAAGCTGGGCGGAAGACTGGACCTCCTTATGGAATGTCTCTGTTGACGTTTTTGCTTGTTTGTTTGTTTTTTTGCTTTGCTTTAGTTTTGGATCCACATGCAACTCCTTGTGTGACTTCTAGACCTGTTGAAGGAGGGGGAAATGCTTTCTCTTCATTTCTTCCTTCGTATTCATAGAGCCAGTGCTTAGATCTTTATATTTCTGAAACGCATTTGAAAGTCTCTCAAGTTCTTCCTAAATTATCAGTAGATTTCTTTTTGGCTGGAAGCATTTTCGTAGGAGACCTCAGGGTAGGGAGGTCTCACTTTTCTGTTATCTATTGGAAGGCAGGTAAAAACATGGGGCATTACCAATTCAAGGGCATCGCCAGCCTAAGGAGGAAAGGGATTAGCGATTGCCCTTGGGGAGATGCTCCCAGGTTGTACTGTTGGACTTGTTCCAGTTGACGGGATTCCAACGTGGAAACCGATTTTCCTACGGCTGAAAAGAGTCCAGGAGCAAGCTGGAGTCCAGGAGCAGGCTCAGAGTCAGCACTCAGCCGGGGTGCGGGGGGAGGCTGCCCACTGCGTGTCCAGGAAGCGTTCTTTTCAGATGCGCTGAGGCCCCGTGGCCCAGGGAATTACTGTACTTCTCCTCACGCCGGGGCCTGGCCGGCCTGCTCTGCTCAGGAGCGAGGGAGTGTGAAGGGGCTGAGTGCCCAGTTAGACGTTGCTGTTTGCCTCCTGTGCGGAGCTCTGAGTGTTGAGATGACAGGGCTGTTTGTGTCACAGGAAGAGCAGGCTTACAGACCCAGCTGTTGGAACCCTTCCTTTGGACGTCTCATTCCTTAGCTACAATTTGTTTCGACATCAGAGCTGCATGCTGTGCCGAGCCAGAAGCCCCGGAACATCACAAAGCAGAGGTTTAGCTGGGGCGACGCTTGTTTTTGATGCTGAGGGCCCTGCGATGCCCGTTTGTCCCTAGGCTGTTTCGTGGCCTTTTTCATCTCAGCCGCGGGGTGAAAGTGGCTCAGGGAGCAGTAGGCCCGGGCCTGCACATTTCCAGATGCCCTCTTTCTAGAGCTTCCTCGTCTCCCTCTCCTTTGGGACTTGGTGGAACGACAAAGCAGCCTCTTTAGAGAGTGTGAATAGGGAATAAGAGACAGCAGGCAGGACTATGTGATTGGAAGTGGAATATTTCTGCTCCTGGTCATTGTCTAATTGGAAGTCTCAGATTAGTCTGAAAACAGAGCAAGTCATTTCCCAGCCTTCAAAAAAGTAATTGGTAAGCCAACCCTCCCTTCCCTTCCCAGGGGAAATGAAGTCACCACGCATTTCAGAAGCCGATCCTAGCCCAGGAGTGACTCAAATGTGCCCTCCCCCCCCCCCCCCCAAACATACCCTATATGCTAACTGAAAGAAGCATTGAAATGTGGTGTGGTGATGACGTGTGTGTTTGCCCCTGCCCAGGAGCAGGAATGGACTGTGCACTTAGCCTGTGTGAGGTGACTGGTGGGGGTGAGAGTTCCATCTGGCACTGGATCAGCTAAGCTAACCTAGTGAGCAGATCCCAGCTGAGTCAAAGGATATGCAAATCTGCAGGTTTTCTCTTTCGGTTCTTAAGCTCCATATAGGCTCTCCCACTCTGCAGCCTCTAGGGTTCATGCATTCATCCACTCAACAAATATATATATATTAAGTACCTACTATGTGCCTGGTACAGAGGTATATCAATGGGTGAGGCAGAGAGAAGTCCATGCCTTTAGGAAGCTTACATCTTAGTGGGAGACAATAAATAACTAATACAGGGGTCCTCAAACTACGGCCCGCGGGCCACATGCAAATACAAATATTGTATTTGTTCCCGTTTTGTTTTTTTACTTCAAAATAAGGTATGTGCAGTGTGCATAGGAATTTGCTCATAGTTTTTTTTTTTAACTATAGTCCGGCCCTCCAACGGTCTGAGGGACAGTGAACTGGCCCCCTGTTTAAAAAGTTTGAGGACCCCTGAACTAATAGATGTTAGGCAAGGAGAAGTGCTAAG